TCCTACTTCTCTTATGAGCCGCCTTTTCTGCCCTAGGGGTTTGAAAACCTGATACATGTAAGTCTGGATCCATACTCAAATTAAAGTCTCCACATATGACCAAACTATTATGTCTTTCTGGAGGAACTCTATGTAACACCCTTTCTAATGTCACAAAGGGGTCTTGTGGTGATAAACAGATATTTAGTCTCTGAGATGGATGGCTTGGAAATTGAAAGACAATGCCTCTCGAGTAAAGGCTTGTCTACATCCGTGATCAGTACCCTTCTAAACGCAAGGAAGAGGTCGACTTCTTAAGCCTACTATCGGATATGTTCATTTTTCCATGTCTTTTGTGGCTCTGATATGATAGTTTGATTTATTGATTGAATTATTTTAAACTTATGTGTATCTAATGAAATTGGTTATTAAACAATGATTACTTGTTTGTATGATGTGTGTATTTAAATGCAATTCTATCACTGTGGTGTTAGCTTAATAAAGACCTGTTCAGGTCGAAACGTTGTAATAAATCTGCCTGGAACCAAGTACAGTGAGTGCCTGAGATGTTTTTCATTACTACTATCGGATATGGGACATCTTTTGTGACTGGAGTATGGACCATAAAATATCTCCTTTGTCACCCAGTATCAGTGACATTTTGCAATTTTTACAAGATGGATTTGACAAAGGTCTAAGCCTTAGTTAATTAATGGTACAGATTTCAGCTCTTTCTGCTCTATTAGATAAAAAATTGGCATTTGATCCTGATGTGGGAAGATTTTGTCAAGCTATCCTAAAACTACACCCTCCATTGAACTCTTGTTCCCCTCCTTGGGACTTGCCTTTGGTTTTGCAGGCTTTGTCTGGTGCTCCATTCGAACCATTGGAAAATATTTCTCTGATGACACTGACAATCAAAACAGTTCTTCTGGTGGCACTTACCTCATGAAGAAGAATCTCAGAACTGGGTGCACTTTCTTGAGATTCCCCATATCTAATTTTACAAGAAGACCGAGTCATCCTTCGGACTGTTCCTACCTTTCGTCCTAAAGTAGTATCCTCATTTCATATGAACCAGGATATTGTTCTACCAGCCTTTTTTCCACACCCTTCTTCTGAGGAAAAAGAGAAATGCCATTGTCTGGATCTGGTTCATTGTACATCATCTTATCTGAACCGTACAGCGGAAATAAGGAACTCAGCTAGCTTGTTCATCATTCCTTCAGGATATAAGAGAGGTCAATCTGCCTCTTCCTCCTGCATTTGCCGATGGATAATCTCAGCCATTTCTAAGGCTTACATCGCCAGGCCTTTAAATGCTGCAGCCGTCTGAGCGCTCTATAGAGAGCCTCAGGCGGCTGCCGCACTGCCTCTCTCCTCACCTCCCCTTCCTGTAGCGGGGCCTCTCTCCTCTCCAGCCCGCGACCCGGCCGGACTGATAGGAAGTGCACACTCAGTGTGGCCGGGTACAGGAAACAGAAACTCCTGTACCGCGGACCAGAGAGGAGCTCGGCCACGCTACAGGGGAGGTGAGGAGAAGAAGGGGGGAGGGGTGGAGTAAGAAGAAGGGGGGAGTAAGAAGAAGAGGGAGGGAGGGGGAGTAAGGCACAAGAGGTGAGGAGGAAGAAGCATAAGAAGAAGAGGGGGAGGGAGAGAGTAAGAAGAAGGGGGAGTAAGACTAAACAGGGGAGAGGGAAGCAAGAAGAACACGGGGGTGAGGAGAAGGTGAGATGAGGAGAACACCTAGAGTGGGGGGAGGTGAGAGAAGAACAATGGGAGCTAGTGTGAGAAGAGGGGAGGGGAGTATGAAGAAGAGGGGGAGGGGGGGAGTAAGAATAAGAGGGGAGTAAGACTAAAACAGGGAGGGGGTGAGGAAGGTGAGATGAGGAGAAACACGGGAGGGAGGGGAGGTAAGTAGAACAAATGGGAGGGGGGAGTGAGGAAGAACGGGGAGGAGAGAATAAAACAGGAGAGGGGTGAGGAGAACACAGGGAGGGGTGGTGAAGAAGACACAGGGAGGGGGAGGTGAGAAGAACACAGGGAGGGGGGATTAAGAAGAACATGGGGGGAGTGAGAAGAACACGGGAGAGGGGGTGAGGAGAAGGGGAGGTGAGAAGAACACAGGGAGAGGGGTGGGTGGGTGTGAGAAGAGACCGCTAGGGGAGGGTGGGGGGTGAGGAGAGACCACTAAGGGGCAGAGGAGAGCTCTAAGGGACAGAAGGGAAAGCTCTATAGGACAGGGGGCAGGACAGGGAACTCTTTCACACTATGCGCACACACACACAATGCATCCCTACACACACAGAAACACAACATGCTTCCCTTACACACAGATAAACACAATGCAACTCTTACACACAAAGACAATGCATCCTTTGCACACATACACAGAAACACACAATGCATCCCTTACACACACATGCAAACACACACATTGCGTCTCTTACATACACACAGAAACACAATGCATTTCTTACACACACTGAATGCACACACTTACAGACACACACCTTGCATCCCTTATGCATACAAACACAAATCCATACAATGCATGTAGCGAATGGCACTGGGCTGTCCTGCAAATGTCCTTGAAATAATTGCATTCGTGTGATCTGCTAGTTTTCTATGTGTTTCAAAGCCTTGTATTCTTTTGATTGTTCGGTAGTTTCATTCCCTTAGTTTATTCGAATGAAACTACCGAACAGCCAGACCTCCCCTGTGTAAAGTGTGTCCTCAATTACCCGTTGCAACATTGTTGCGAACGGGTAATTGACTAGGAAGTAGCCGTCCTTTGTTCTCGGGGGTGGCCGCCATTCGACAAACGAACACGTGGCGGCGGCCATTTTAAAACTCCCGAACAGCGGTGTTTTGCCGTCGAGTGTCTGGAACTAAAATCGGACACTCGAGTAGGCGAACACCGCTGAGACCTCCACAGCCCTGGTCCGTTCGGTTCCAAACTACCGAACGGCCCCTCGTTCGGTAGATAGAAAATACCGAACGAGGGGATTCAGGCGAACCCTCCCTAGCCTCTATAGCTAGAGGTTTTCGTGTATTTTATTCCCTTATGCCAGGACCGACCGCAGGGCCCATTCACATGGAACCGGATTCGGCTATCTCTGTTCGTGCGGTCGGTCATTTTATTCCCTCCATACTTTTCCCGAACCCCTGGTCTGATCTGGGTGATTTTTGGATATGTTGGTCACCCAGATCAGGGCTACCAGGGGATGTATGATTTAAAGAGGTACCCCTACGTTTAGGGGTACATCCAGAAATGGGGGAATTGGTGTGCTGGATAAGGGGATTATGATGCTGGCTGAGGGGAGGAGATGTGTGGGAGGTTACCAGGACAGGATTGGCTACTGTAATAATTACTGTAAATCCCTCCCTTGCATGGGAGCATGCTTTATAAGGAGACTGTGATTAAAGGCTTGTCAGTTCTGCTCCTGAAACTGTGTGTCGTCCAGTTATTGGGATTGCTGTGGGGAGATTGCTGTTATTTTTACCTGCTGGAAACTTTGCCTATGGATTTATTATTTACTTGTTCCTGAGCCTCACTTGGATTACAAGCGGAGATAACCTGTGGAATATTGCATCTCCGCTACATTGGTTGGCAGCGCTGGGATCCAGACTCACAAGGGAACAAGTACTAATGGAATACGGATGGAGAGTGATTATGCCAAGCTTAAAAGATCCACGCTAAAGGATCTCCTGGAAGCGAAAGGTATTGCAGCCAGCAACAAAAAGAAAGCAATCCTCATTGCAGAAGTGATGGCTGAATACCAGCAGGAGGACAGGGTAATCCCTGAGCAGCAGAGTGCAGCAGAGGAAGCTGAAAAAGAAGAGTTCCGGAGAGAAGTGCAGTTCAGGCTGTCCTTTTATGGAGAGAATCCAACAACAGATATTATATCCAGGACAATGACAGAGGTACAGGAGTTTATACTGCGTCAAAGGCCACTACAACAGCTGGAGAGGAATGCTACCACAACTACCATCACACAGGGTAAGACAAAAATTCCTTACCAAGCCTTTAAAACGTATATAGAAGCAGAGGAAGATATAGATGCTTTTCTCCAAGACTTTGAAAGGCTGTGTGCATTGCATAGTATTAGCCCAGACGAGTGGGTGCCTATTTTAGCAGGGAAGCTCACAGGGAAGGCTGCTGAAGCCTATAGAACTGTACCTGATGAGGAAATTCGGAATTACCGCAGAGTAAAAGAAGTGATCCTGGCCCGATATGCAATCACACCAGAGGCATATCGGCGGCGGTTTAGAGACCTAAAGAGAAATGATAAGGACTCTCATGTGGAATGGGCTTGCAAGTTGCATCGGGCCGCTCTGGGGTGGGTACAGTCCAATAAGGCTCGGTCCATGGAGGACTTGTTACAAATGGTGTTGCTGGAGCAATTTTATGAGGGGGTAACCAGCGATGTCCAGGAATGGGTGAGGGACAGAAACCCTACCTCCCTTACCGAAGCTGCCAGGAAGGCAGATGAGTACTTGGATGCACGCAGGCAGCAGAAACCTGCAGCCCCAAAAACCAGTTTTAAAACATTTGGGGGAAACAGCTACAACCCAGCTCCACCCAGGCAACTGCAACCACCACCACCACCCGCTGCACAGCAACGTTTTCGCCAGCCCGCTTCCGGCCCCTGTCATCACTGCCAGAAGTGGGGACATTATAAAAGGGAATGTCCCCAGCTGAGGGATCGTTCAACCTGGATTCCCCCCGGCCCACCACCACCACCAAGAGCAGCCGCCGCCCATCACTACCAAGATACAGTGGCCACACCATATGGGTCAGCTATTCCCATAACAACCGTGGAACAGTGGGAAGTACTGCACGAGGCGGATCCAGTCCAGGCCAATGCAGATAACAGACAGCACCACAGGCAGACCGTATACCTGGAAGGTAAAGCAGTACAGGGACTACGGGATTCGGGGGCTACTATCACCTTGGTAAAGAGTCACCTGGTGTCGGATCAAGCGAGACTAAGTAAAACTGTGGCCGTCAGGGTAGCCGGGGGAGCAGTGTACCGGCTACCTACAGCAAGGGTACATTTACATTGGGGGGCGGGGGCAGGACATGTGGAGGTGGGGTTGATGCCGCAGTTACCGGCGGAGGTTTTATTGGGGAACGATCTGGGGAGGCTCACATCTGCTTTTGAGCCCCAGACGTCCATCACAGGAGAAGCTCACCCTGTGGTCACCCGTCAACAGGCCCGCACCCAGGACTACCACTCACCTCCGGAGGTTCAGGTAAGAGACCCTTC